CGTGAGCGGCGTGGCGCGATTCTTGCGCCAAAGCAACGTCAGCGAGATCGAGCCGTCATGCAGGCGTAGGCAGCTCTTCGGCTCGACCGCCCGCGGCGGATCGCCGTCCCGAGCGACGTGCATCGGCAGTGCTTCCGACGGCAATCGCAACAGGAATATGTACGCCGTCAAGAAAAGCATCTGCAGCTCGCGCCCCGATTGGTGGCGTTCGAGATGCTTCAGTAATCTGGCGAGGAGCGCCTCCCGAATAAACATCTTGGGCCTGGCCTGCCAAGTGTTTCGCGCTTGCACCGCGCGAGCCGCGCGCTCGACTGCCGGGTCGCTCAGCGCGTCCAGCGGGACGCGCAACAGGATGCAGACTAATCTGACGTGCGAAATATAGTTGTCGAATGTTCCTTTACAACGGAAGCATGTGCTCCACAATGCAAGGCCCTCGGGCGACGGCGGAATCACTTCCCCCGCGTCGCAGCCGAGCACGGTCATGGCGAAAGTCGCCCAGCAGCGGAAGGCGCTGACTACGCTGGGCCACGTTTTCGGGCAGCTGCCCAGAATCGCGGCGACCCGAGCCGAATTCGACCATTCGCTGAAGCTTCGCTGGGCGAGGCCCTGCCGCAGGGCCTCGACTTCACGGCGGGGGCCCGCGCGCGGCTCGATGGTGCACTGGCGCGCTATGCTGACGGCCAGCTCAAGGTCCCGCACAGCACCGCAAGCCGCCGAAAGCTCATCGCACTTGGCAGCTCGCCGCCTGGCAGGGCGACTGCGGCTGCGGCACTCGCGCTGATGCACGTCGGGTGCAGGCGGAGGTTCGTCCTTTGCGCCGCGCACGACGGCAGATGGCTTCTTCGCTTCGTTAATTAACTCTGACAGCGCTACGCGCAGGGCGTCAGGGCTGACGCCTCGTTCCCCTTCTGCGGCAGACACCGGTTCGAACCAATCGACGCGCGCTAGCTGCAGATCTCTGAGATGCGTTATGTCCTGGCGCCGCAGCAACTCGATCAACGCAAAGGTAACCATGGGTGAAAGCTCTGGCAGGACGCCGCGGACCTCATGAAACAACGTCATGGCTTATCGCTCGACTGAGCGCCCGTCGCTGGCTGCGCTGGGACCGCGCGCTGACGCATAGGACAACCGACCAGGGGCCCATCGATGGGGCCGGTTAACGACGCAGCTTCCACTGTCGGCTTTTGGCATCAACTCGCGCGGGCCGCCCTCGCAAGGCACGCGCGAGGCATGGCTCGCAACGGGCTCGACGCGGGACAGCGGCTCACTCGCCTTCGTTGCTTCGTGCCGCCTTCGATGCGCAACGGCGCTCGCGGGGCGCGACGACGCGCGACGGCGCGCTCCCGCCGGCAGAGCGCGGGCCAGAAACGTCTCCGGTGCGAAGAACTCAGCCGCGCGTAAGCGCGGCGTCACGAAGTTCGCCCCAAGAACACGTAGCAACTCGTACTCCTCCCGCGACGGAAGGTCGGCGATGTTCTCTGCTGATGGGACCCGCGCAAACCACGGCGAACACCGGGTGCGTGCGATGAGGAACCACATGGCGTGAATGATGCGGGAGTGGTCCCAAGCGGAAGCGCGACCGCTCCGCACTGCCCCTTCTGCGCCCACATTGTCGGACCAAATCACCACTCGGCGGTCCGCCAGCAGTTCACTAAAGGTAGCTAATCCCAGCGCTATAGCGAGCAGTTCTAACGCCATAATCTGAGAGTCCCGGCGCGGCGCCAAGTCCTCCAGCAGCTCCTGGTCTGGAGGGGCGTCGGACCAGAAGGCGCGACCATCGACGAACAGCACGGCGGCGAGCCGTGGATCGGACCCGCCCCTTGCGTCAGCAAGCAAGTGCACTTCTTGCCGTTCCAGCTGCGCCCACGGCTTGGACTGATGGATGCCGAGGGCCAGCACCTCCGCCCACCATGACAGCGCCAAGTTGAGCGGGGCGCGAACGACACCCCGTCGCGCATTCTGCTGCGCGAACAGGGGCTGCAACATCGCACGCCCTAGCCGCTCGAAGCAATGTTGACCTGCCCAGCTGAGAGCGCCGGCCAGCTTGCTGGCTTGGCCGGCACATAGTGTCCCGCAGTCGAGCGCTTGCTTGATCAAGAAAAGCCACTTGCGCACCTTCTTGGGCGCGGGAAACAAGTTGATCCCGCTGAGAGAAAAGGACACATGCAGGCCCAAAATCTCCAGCTCGTCGCCACATTCCAGCTTCTTATCGGAAACCGCTCCTGGACCTAGGAGCAGGCGCACTAGTCTGGCCAGCGATGCCATGGTATGCTCTTTAGTTGCGGGTGCGCACGGCCCAAAGAAATCGTCCACGTATCGGAGGGTGGGAATCTTTAAGAGCTTGCGGGCGAGGTGCGCCAAGGCAGCTCCGACTCGGTCCCACCCAAAGACGGCAGCCAGGGCGCCGAACATCAACGCCAGGTGACCAGTGACCCAAATGTCTCCGTCGTGCAAATACGTGCTGTAAGCTGCCCACCTGTGGCAAGGCCGACATCGACACCGCAAACGCCGGGTTCCTCTGGAACCCCGACACGAGCCCCCAGGTCGATGCTTTTAACGGGGGGGGGCACCCGGAAATCCCGAGCCTGTGTTCAGGAGCGATAGGCACACGCCGGTAAGCGGAGTCGATGTCAGCCTTAAACAGTGCCGGTGCGTGCCCGCGCAGACCGTGATAGCAGCGCAGGGCGTCCACCAAAACGTCAGCCCCGTCCAGCAACAACCTCTCGGCGGGCTGGCACGCCGAGTTGATGCCCCCTCTCGATTCATCGTCTACTACGCGAACCTTGGGCGCGCCATCCGGCTTGACGCCCTGCACAATGGAGAAACGCGGGGACAGACGCACCCTGCCCAAGTCCGCCTTGGCCAGCACAACCGGAGCGGTCATCCGCGACAGAGACGCATCGGCGAGCGCGCCCTCGTGGATCGCAGACGAGTTCACGTCCTCTCGCAAGGAAGACAAAATGGCTCTATTGTGCACGGGGGAGGAGGTCAGCAACTCCTCGGACGACGTGGGCTCCGGGAATTTCTTTGCGGGCCCTCTGCCCGCATGGGGCAGCTTTCCGAGCAAGGGCGCGCCGTAGCGGAACAGATCAGCCGCGGCCGTGTCATCGTAGCTCGTCATGTCGAGCAGAGCAGCTAAAAGCGGCCCATTCACGTCGGCGGACACGGCGCGCGTCGCGTCGTCACGGCCCACGAGAGCCGCACAAAGCCCCCAAAAAATACCAACCGAGTCGAAGGGAAGGGCCTTGCCCATCCCCTCTGGGGGTGGCGGTCCTGGGAGGGGATCGCTAGGGGCGGTCCAGGGGAAGGTCCCAGAGGAGGTCTCGAGGCCAACGGGCCTGACAGGGGCCCCTGTCGAAGGTTCGCCTGGAATTCCGCTTCAGTGTATGATCCTGAAGCTTGAATATTGCATGGGTCCGTGCCTGCCCTGCTTTAAAATGGAGATGCCGCTTGAAACTTTCTCGAAGCTCATGACCACATGTGTAAACTTACGCACCAGTTACGCGGACATAGGGCAGTACGAGGGATGATGGGATCGATTGTGGGATCAATAGTGAGTTCGATTGTGAGATCGTTAGGGAGATCGATCGAATTTGATCGATTGTGATATGGATGGTGAGAGATTGATCGTGAGAACGGTTGAGTGAGACGTTGGTTCCTCCCCCCCCGAGCCTTCTTATCACCCGACGGGTGGTCGTACAGGTAGGATGTAATTAGCGAGCCGGCGGCGCAACATCGCACGCAATATTTCTAACGCCAACCGTATGGTGCCGGTACGGTGTAACTTAATCATCAATCGGTCAGAGCCCCTGGAGGCCGAAACAGGCAAGAAACTTTCCGCATTGGGCTGTTCAACACGTCAGAAACCTGGAGGCGAGGGGGAACAATACGAAAACATCCACCTGGAAGCGGCGATACATCGGAGACAGGCAGCCGATAGCGAATCCGCACGGTCCTGGGCGGGATGGGCTGTCGGGCCCCGATCGGCGATCAGTGGGCGATTGGGGGTCGATGCCTCTCCCCTGAGCCCATCCCGCCCCATGACCCTCGTTGTCTGACTTTCGGGCCCCGTCTCGGGTCTCCAGCGGCCGTTCGGGGCGATCAGGGAACCCTGGGAAAGCTGTCGGCGAGGCGCAGCCTCTGGAGAGCACCCCCGAGGCTGGAAGACCGCCGAGAGCCGACGAAGACACCCGAAAGCCTCGGACGTCAAACAAAAAACGTGGCCACCTGAGCCTACTCCGCACTGACGCTGCCGCTGAGATGCGCCCGAAGGACGGATGGCCGCAACCGGTGGGCCGGCGGCAGCGGCCGCTGCTGGGCAGGCGACTTGTTCTCCAGTGGATAACGGCGCGACGGCGCCGACGGCGGTAATAGAGGCCTCCACAACGGGAACCGAGTCGATGGGGTCGTAGGATCGCGCCGCATCGCAGATGCATCGGTTACGCCGGCGGTGCATTGGCGACGCCAGCACGGCGTAAATCAGGCTCCACATCGAGCCACATCGCCGATGCATAGGGGATGCGGAGCGATCCTCCAACCCACTCTACTCCTACCCCATATGGGAGGCCTGGTGGTAATGGGACCCTAACGATATGTATCGGTCACCGTCCATCTTGGTCTCCGTCGATCTTGGTCAGCGGCAATTCGTGGATCACGCTCGCGAATCGGCGACGGCCAGCATGGACCATGACCAAGATCAGAGCATCGTTTAACGGATCCCTATTCCCACGAGCGTGGCCTTGGCCCACTGACCCGTGTATCCCCCCAGATGGGGATATAGGCTGCCGCTTCGGGTTTCGAGGGGTATATCCCCAACTCGGGTGGTGGGTTGGGGGGGATCGGGATGGGTATGGGGATAGGGATCAGTTAAACGATACTGAGGCTTACAGATCATGACCAAGATCGGCGTCGACAAGATCCCGCGACATCTTGGTCATGGCCAGCGCGTTTCTTCCCTCGACCAGCGCTGCCCACGGGGCCCGCGGTGCGCGGCTGGTCTCCTCCGCGCCGGCGCCGCGCACCTGCGCTGTGAGGGGCCAGGACCCAACGCCAGCCTCGCGCGCCGCCGCCGCAGCGGCCGGCCGAAGGGGAGGGGGCGGAGGACGAGGAGGTGGAGGAGGAGGGAGGCGGAGGAAGGATGAGGAGGGGGAGGGAGGAGGGGGAGGGAGGAGGAGGAGGAGGAGGAGGAGGAGGAGGAGGAGAAGAAGAAGAAGAAGAAGAAGAAGAAGAAGAAGAAGGAGGAGAACCAGTGTAAACCCAATAGTCATCAACGATGTTGGAATGAACCCTTGCTCCAAGCTCCCTCTTGATAGGCCCCATACAACGGCTCACTTTCATTAAGGGAACTGCCTCGTTGCAAGGCAACCGTCTGAAGACCCTGAATCATGCCAAAACATTGTCCTCGGGATTACACCGCCACGGATCAACCTGACTGTTGCGTCTTGACGATCCTGAATCGTGCCAAAACGCCGTTTCTGGGACTTCAACACAGCGAATCAGCGTAACTGTTGCACCCTCATAATCATGAATCCGTCCAAAAACGATTGTACGCTGATGATGGGAATCCTTGCAACTCTTGCAAATATTATAAACGAATGTGCGCGGCGCTAAAACGAGATACACATTTTGAAAACGGGTCGCCCTCAATCCGTGAAACCCTTGCAAAATGTGTAAAACACATGTGGGCGGCGCTGGGGCGAGAGCTACATTTAGAAAACGGCCCGCCCTCAATCGGTGAAGCTCTTGAACATGTTGCTTAAAACGACTGTGCGCGGCGTTAAGGCGGCAGCAACATTTAAAAGCGCGTCGCCCTCAATATGTGAAACACTTGTAAATGCTTAAAACGAGTGTGCGCCGCGCAAAAGCGAGAGCCACATGTTGAAAACGACCCGCCTTCCATCTGTGAAACGGTTGTCAACTTGTAAATCCCACCAGCCCTCTGGGCTTAGGTGGTATAACGCGTTGTTGCTTCTTTCTTCCACCGAAACCCCTCCCCCTACCCCCTCCCCTGGGCCAGGAAAGGGGGGGGTACCGAGGCGTTGGAGCCCAAGATGGCCCAAGATTGCTCCAAGAGGGCTTCGAAGTCGCCAGATGGCCTCCAAGATTGCCAATGCTACTTCAAGATGGGTCAAGATAGCCTCCGGCATACCCCCAAGAGGCCCCACGACAGCCCCAAAACGGATCCAAGTGCCCTTCGAGCCCTCCACGGCGCCCTTGGAGATGCCAAAACCGTTCAAAAGCATAGGGAAAATCAATGTGTTTGGCATTATCGCCCGTTCGCTTCCGATGGGCTTTGGAAGCCTCAGGATGGCCCCAAGATGGCCCAAAAGAGGCCCAAGAGGGGCCCAAAAAGGCCGAAGACGGCCCCAAGATCGCCCAAGAGGCGCCCAAGAGCGCTCCAAGAGGGCCCCAAGATGCCGTTTGAGAGCTCCGATGGGGGGGCCCGAATTCCTTCCCCCCCTCTTTTTGAGCCATGGTGCCCAAGAGAGCCCCAAGAGGGGCCCAAGAAGGCCCAAGACGGCCCCAAGATCGCCCAAGAGGCGCCCAAGAGCGTCCCAAGAGAGCTCCAAGACGCCATGCTTGAGCTTCCAGGGGGGCGATGCTAATTGAAGGACCTCCTCAAAATGAACCATGAGGCCCAAGATGGCCCCAAGAGGCCTCCCAGCCTCTCCCAAAGACCCTCCACCCCGCCCTTTTTGGCCCAATATGGCTCCAAGAGAGCCCCAGATAACCCAAGATGGCCTTCAAAATGGCCTAAGATAACCAAATATGGCTCAAGATAGCCTCCGACAACCCTCCAAGAGGCCTCAAGGCAGCTTCAAGATGGCCCAAGATAGCCGAGCATGGCTCAAGATAGCCTCCGACAGCCTCTAGCCGAGCATGGCTCCAGATAGCCTCCAAGAGGCCTCAAGAAAACGGGCAATCAATTATGGATGGGCTGGTGGGGATACTTTTCCGGTCGCGTCCACCAGCGAAGGCGCTAGCGGAGTCAGAAGCGCTCCGGGGCACGGAAGCGGCCTGATGAGCTTCTAAACGCGCCGCAGGCCTGCCGGCCCACTCGCCAAGCAGCGGCAAGCTGAGGGCGCCCAGGGAAGCTCAGGCACTTGCAGCCAAGCAAAATTCTGGAAAATTACGGTTGTGCCGTGAGGCAAGGCCCGCTCGAAGCACGAGGACGAATGCGGCGGTGACTGCGTGTCCAACATGCCCGTTGGGCGTCCAGGGTAGTAAGCGATGGGCGAGTCGCCAGTGGGGCGCCAAGCCCAGGTCGCGCAAACGGCGTGCGCGAGCCAGGTGAGCTGCGCTGCCGAGGAGCGTCGCAAACAAGCCTGGAAGGTGGGAGGGGCCCGGGGGGGCGGCCGCGGCTGCGAAGGCTGCACCACTCGAAAGCGGCACAACTCCAGGGCCCACCATCCCGTGCACCACGGGGAAGGCCCCGAGGCTCCAGGGGGCCGACCCTTCCATCAGCTGCGCGAAGGTCGCCGACAGATGCACTGCGTGAGAGAGGCCAAGCTGGCGGGAAAGAACATCGCCAGCGAGGCAGGGGAATCCAGGGAAGAGCTGCACGACGGCCGCCCGCATGAAATATAGAAGGGCGCATCGTCGGCGCACTGTCTTACCCGTCGTATCTCCCATTCCCCGCGGGGATCCAGGGTCGCAGCTAATCGCCGCTATGAGTGAGATAATGTCACCGCCATCAGCGCGGGGCCCTGGTCAGCCCTGGGCCAGGGGGGCGATCACCCCCGCGATGCAAGGGTCTGCGAGCCTGGCAGCTGCCCAGCCCGGGAGAGACCCGAGGGGGGGGGCGGCGGGGACAGACATCACCGACCCTCCACGCGGATGGGGCCCCCCAGGGACACCTGGCGAGCGAGTCGAACATAGAGAACGACCACCTCGCGATCCAGGGGCATGCGAACCCGGCAGCAGCCCAGCGCAGGAGGGGCCCCAGGAGAGGGGCGGCGGGGACAGACATCACCCACCCTCCACACGGATCCCAGGGGGGCCAGGCGAGGGGGCAGGGCGCAGAAGCCAGGGCCCGAACTCCAGGGATGCAGCCAACCGCTGCTTAGGGCCCGCTTCACTCGCCCAGGGTGGCCTTCGGCCTCTTCCGCTTCGATGTCCAAGGGGAGGCCAGGGTGACGGCCGACTGCCGTCTGAGGTGGTGTCGGCATCTGTCCCCGGGAGTACGATAGCAGTCCGTGTGAGAGACAGATAGGCGTGACAGCCGCCTGCAGGAATACGGAGGGGCGGTCACCGCCGGGGCACTGCCTTACTCGTCGTATCTGCCATTCCCCGCGGGGATCCAGGGTCGCAGCTAACCGCCGCTTATGAGTGAAGTAATATTACCGGCGCCAGCGCGGGGCCCTGGTCAGCCCTGAGAGCGGGGGGGGAGGGGGGGGCACGGAGCCGGGGCGGGGGGGGGGCCAGGGCGGGGGCAGCAGTCAGGCCCCCCGGACCCCACGTTGAAAGGCCCCCACACCCCGCGCAGTGGACCGATCCGTCGAGCTCCCCGCCCTTTATTGGCGCAGTCCAGGGTGGGCAGACTGCAGCCCGCTGAAGCACTTGCTGTCTGGCGGCGCTGCTGCCTCGAAGGCCGACGCGCCCATGGAGCCAGTGAGTCCAAGTTGATCCAGGGTCGCAGCTAACCGCTGCTCAGCGTTGAGAGAAGAGAGCGGGGCGAACCCAGGGGAGGCGAAGCCAGCAATGGGCCAGGGAGATAAGGGCTGCACAGGGAAGGTTGGTCCAGGGGGCCGTGCCTTTGGCAGCGCGGGCAGCCAGCTGCAGACAGCTGCCTCGACGCTCCAATGGGGTGTACGACTGCAGCGGCACGGGGCTGACTTCCTTGCCACGCAGCCATCCTGTCCCAGGGGCAAGCTGATCATAATCTGGCGCCAGCGGCGCGTCAAAACTGAGACCCGGCTGGGTCTTGCCCGAGACTGCAACCAGGCTGGAGGGTGGGGATACTTGAGGGGGGCCACCTCCAGTCCAGGGTGTCGCGGGGCAGGCTGCAACCACCGAACAGCAACGTCCGGGTGCCTGAGGCTTCTACGGGCATGAGCCAGCCGTGGCCCAAGAGGGCGAGCGAGGGTGAGATGTCGGGCGCATGAGGGGGATAGCCCCGTCGGCGAGCCCGAAAAGGTGGCGGGTGGGCCACTTGTCCAGCGAAGGCTGTCTAGCTAAGCTGCGCCATGGGTGATAGGGGGGTTAGCCCCCGACAGCGGACCCAGCTTTAGTGGGTCACGCTGGGGGCGCGCCCTCGAGCGCCTGGAGCTGCCGGCGGCCGCCGGAACTGGCGAGGATCTGGCGGGCGCTCCGGCCTGCTTCGGGTTCCTCGCTGGCTCCGACTCCTTATCCTTCTCTGCCGCTCCTCTCGGTCACCTACTCACCTCCTGAGCGTCCACTCCTCGGGGGCCTCCTGTCCGCTCTACATTAAAGGTCGTGCAAAGCCAGATAACTCTTCCGCGGGTCGGCGAGGGTTAGAGGGTCGGCGGGCATTCGCCCGTGGGAGGGCCATCTTATTTGCGATCCTGCAGCGCTGAAGGAACTCTGAACGACTGCCACCTCAATGGCATTCCGCCTGTCGGACTGGGAACCCGCGGCATTGTTACTTGAGATAATTATCGAAAACGGACTTCGCCCGACCGCAGAAAGGGAGGCCGAACGATTGCTCAGCTCATGCGAGAAGGACGCGACCACTGAGACGAGAGAGGCCCCTAGATTCCAGAAGGGCTTCTGAACGTCTCCGAAAACAACGCCCCTCTCGAGGACTTTGGAGGCGCTGGGCTTCAGCAGCGGCCCCGCTCCAAGCAAGAGTCTCGGCCGCCGCAGTCGAGCTGATGATAACTCGCTTCAGCCTCTGGGGGCGCAGGAGGGGCAGAGACGCGCGGGCGCGCCGACTCTTTCTGATTGCAAAGTCTGCCGCCACGACTAGCCGCGCACCCTGAGACCCGCCGCGACTCGCGAATCCTGGGGCCGAGGCGTCGGACGCCGTCAAAGACGCGAGCGAGTGGGGGCCGAATCCCCGGATCGTCAGTTTGAAAGGCTGTCGCGTTCAAAA